AGATAGGTCAGGTCTGGCCAGGTCACAAGGAATGTGCGGAAAAAGGGTACGGACACAGGACACAGGTCGCGGAGTGCGGGCACAGGTTACAGGCTAAAAACACAAACAAAGAACACAAACACAGATAAGGCGCACCAACGGACGTAAGACACAGGCAGAGAGCAGGGATACAGGACAAAGACGTAAAACTCAGAAGGTGCCAGCTGATCCGACACCCAGCTAGTAGGTATACCCCGAGATAATGGCAATAATCCGTCACATAAACACTGAATACTAATAACCAACGACGCGGTCGGCAAAAAAGACAGTGTGAGCTGACGTAGAGGACCGATATTTATCTGTCACCAAATATTACAGCCGTATAATGATTGATAATTTATAACCTAGGTCGTGAGCTCATAAGCTAATGAAAGGCTCCACCAAAAGCGAATAAACCAGGGACAGAAGCTAGCAGCAATATCCACACTGTTACAGCTTACACTTATGTACTAAGACTGACAACCTCGCTCAACCGAACACACTAAATGAATGTGTGAGCTACGTTTCTGTACATCCCGACTGCCGAATAGCCATGGACGCCCTCCAGCCAGTCTCACCTCTGGACATGAAGAAGTGGTTGGGGTACAGCAGCTTGAAACCGAACAGCGTCAGGATGCACTCGACGGAGAACGATCCCCGGTCGACAAAGTCCCCATTGAACAGGTACGGGTTTGTTTCGGACGGCACGCCGTTCAGTTTGAAGATGTTCAACAAGTCGTAGTACTGTCCGTGTACGTCGCCGCACACGGTGAACTTGCTCTCGGCCGGAATCGAGACGTCCACCAGCGAGGGCTGCTTCACCAGGTACTCCTTCATGTCCAGCAGGATCTGCGGCGAGCAGTGGGGGCGGCTGTTTTCATACGGTACCGCGGGTCAGTCGGTCTGAACATTATCTCTAAGCAGCTTCGGTTCCACCCCTCAGCGCATGGGCGGTCAAAGTTCACCGATAATGAAGTACAACGCTTCATTATCAAGTGTGAATAGACTGAACCGTGAAGTCTGCATTGGCTGTCCATTACTGTGGTCCCCGTAAGTTAACACTGCAGTAAGAAACCCTTCCAGCTACACAACGTATCTCATGTCATAGCGACAAAGATACCACAATCTGTCATAACGGCTAGGTTCACTATAAGGAAAACTATCAGCGTGCCTAGGCCTTCCACCGGTGTCGGAACATACCTTGAAGGCATACTTGGTGTGCAATAGTTTCTGGTCTTTGAACCAGGACATGAGTTCGACCATGAACTCGGGTGTGACCTTTCCGTCCTGTAGTGACGGACCGGCGTAGTCATCCTCGATCGCTGTCGGCAGAGGTCGCGACGGTCAGCAACAGAGGCCGCCGCCCCGAACCACCTATCTAAGGAGGGGCACAACCCACCGCCCCGATCTCGCCCGTGTCTGAAAAGGGACATACACACAGTCCGCCGCTCCCAGCCCGCCTGCCTAATCATGGGGCACGGCTCGGTGTCCCATTACGGCAGACTAGGGCCCGCGGCTAAAATCTAGGGAAGGACACAGTCCGCTGTCCCGATCCCACCCGGGTCTGAAAGGGGACACAGGCCACCGTCCCCGAGCCTGACAATGTCTAGAGAGGGGCCACACCCCGCCACCAACAGGCGACTATCCAGGGCCTGTCAATGTCTAGGAGGACTGAACCCGCCGTCCCAGCGGTGAAAAGCGGCAGCTGGCGTCAACGGAGGGATCTAGGCCGCCGGTCCAAGGCAGAATATGGAGGCGGCCACAAGGACAAGTTGAATGAATTGATGGCCTACTCTCCTTCCTGAAATCTAAGGGATAGTTTCAGTCACATTTTCACCAAGCCATGACACTATACACCCCACACCACAGGGAGATGCCCACTCACTCATCGACTCGATGTTTATCAGTTCGGCGACCGTCTTCTGGGGCTCATCGTCTACCGCGATGGCGCGTTCGAACCGCAGTCGGTTCACGATGGTCCGGCACTTGTTGTACTTTTCTCGCGCGTCCTTGTCCCGTGGTCGTGCCTTCACCACCTGGGGAAGATCCGTGAGGGCGGTGAGTGGGTGGACACGCGACGGCCGTCTCATGATAGGGAGCGCACAGTGTGTGGAGTCTGGTCATTTGTTACTCACAGCCTGCGCCTGCACATCGTGGCTCTGCGTTACACACATTGGACTGATTATAATTTAACGGGTGTGATAAAAAGCACGGGTAAAACTGACGTTTGAGTTACCTTTCTGAGACTATTCATGCTATTTTAACCCAGTGTTTGTGGTGTAAGTACAGTAGGTCTAAAGCATGCCTGTATTATGCACTCCGCATGGCCCTCCTTCTACGGATCATTCACGGCCAACGCCACAGCCACCGCCGACGATCTGTATTCTACTCACGCTCTCAAAGTCCCGTTCGGCCTGTTTCCACTTTCCCATGCCCATGTAGGAGGCGGCACGCCGGTAGTAGCCTTTGACGTAGGTCTTATCGAGCTCGATGGCTCGCGACGCGTCCGTCAGCGCGTAGCCAAAGTTCTCCAGTCGGAGGTGTGCGGCGCTTCGGTTGGCGTGGTACACGTGGCTGTTCGGACACAGCTCGATCGCCTTCGTGTACAAGTCGATCGCCTCTTCATAGCACTCCGCTGCCGGTGGAGAACGCAGGTCAGGACGATGACGGGGATTACCAGGTCAATTGCTTTCGGTCAGGTCAGGCAATGCAAGGGAATCCTGGGACAACTGCCGAGGCTTGAAAGGACAGTTTCTCCCCTGTTAGCCATGATAAAATGAATCTGCTGCGATTTGAAAAACAAGCACATGGTGAAGTAAAATAAAGTGTTGCTCTGAAAAGTGGAACACTATCATTACTTACGTGACAAAACACTGAAGTTTTGTCTCTTCCATGAGCTAAGCCAAAGTAAGCATGTTCGTGTGCCCCGACTTACCAGTAAAACGTTCATTTGCTTGAGTTTTAAATGCCTCTGCCTCCGCTTTTCTATCTTCGTCTGACTTTGTAGATGTCTGTGAAAGGAACAGGGAATCTATCAAAAGCATTTTTAACGGGTTTGATGACAAAAAAAAATCCAGATTAGATGCCTAAAGACATGGTAGAGCCATGTAGAGCCAAGCGCCTTTGAGGGTTGTAATTCTGGTTCCTTGGTTCATGGCTCCAAAATACATGCTGACGAAAGTTTGTCGAAATCAAACAACGAAGCTTGAGCCACATGTTTGTGGTAGATGCTAAGGTTCATTCGATTGTACTTTTTCATTCTGAGGGCATACGATCATGTGATCTTTAGCCCACATACGGCGACCGGACACTCATCGGACTTCGGAGAGCATGTTGCAAAGTCGTCTTCATGAAGATAAATGAAAATCGGAAAGTTTGAGTACCAAAAGCAATAGAAGTGCAAGTGGTGTTGCACGTGAGCTTCGATTAGGTTGGTTTAGGTTAGATCAGGCCACTGATCCTTTCTCAGGCTTCTACCCAGGCATCAGAGGACGCTGTTACCGACATGCCCCCCCCCCCCCCTTCCGATTACTCAAATGCCGGCCGTACCGATAAAAAGCGCTAGTCCACCAGTGATAAGACGATAAGAGAGCCTGGTGCCTACTCCGCACTGCCACTGTGCGCTTGTTCCGCCGTAGCCCAGTCAGGGCCAAATAAGTAATAAATTTAGACCAGATGTTTGGATGGATGAATTGAGTTGAAGCCCACACTAAGCGGAGCTTCTTATGCACGTCCCACCCCTATCATCCGACCAATGACCAGACTGCATAACATGGTAGCGTTGACGAGATCTCGGAGGCGCACCGGCAATCTGCCTATGCGCAATTTGCTGCGGACTTAGAGATGTCGCACAGTTTTCCGGAATTTACAGTGCTTTTTTACGGATTTACCATGGATTACCAGACGTGGCAGTGCTGCGGAGTCGATGGATTTTCGGGTGACTCCGACTCTGACTCCGGCTTCAAAATCGATTCCGTCTCCGACTCCGACTCTCTGAGTCGGAGTCGGACTCTGACTACGGACGTTTTCCTTACAGTCCGTATCATGATAATAGAGTTCATAATGGAGATGTTTTTATTTTGCTGGAAAAGATCCTTTGTGCCTTCCAGGGCCTTGAATCGCAAATATGCTTTATAAACAGCATGCAGAATTCAAAGCAGGTCCTAAAGAATCCGCCGCCTTCTGCTTTCGCTGAAAACGCTCGTCCAAAACAGGAATACCTACCTATGGCCTTTCTACAACAAAATTTGAATTTCGAAAGGTCAACGAGCATAGTATCAAGCAAACAGGTGCAGGGCATGACGGATAGTGAGCCATGCGGAGTTAACTCCGACTCCGGGCAGAACCGTCGACTCCGACAGACCTCCGACTCCACAGCCATGGTCAGTGGTGCAGATTTTGCGAGGGCTGTGACAAGACACTTGTGCTGAACTACTGCTCCAGCATGATCATTGTCATTATATTTTAGTGTCAAGGTCTAGCTACACTATGCGGGATCCTACGTCCGTGATCTGCGAGTTTGCGGGTTTTGCAGAAAATTGGTACGCAGGTCAAGTTCAGCTGATAGGAAATACACAGGGTCGGCTACACTGGGGTCACGCAGATTCAGTCAAGGAAATGCCGGACGTTCAGTACAGGAAATGCCGGATAGTCAGGACGGTCAGGATGTTCCGTACCGATATTAAGTTCAGAGCTACGAACTTTTTTGCAGAATCTGCGTGATTGCGTGATATGAGACAGCTGTTGGCGCACTTGGTGGCGCACCGTATGAATCCTCCAAGTGACGTAAATGATAATTGTTTCTTTAATTTTCATGTGTTTTTGATGTTTTATTTACCTAATGAATTTATTATTGATGAAATAGTATAGAAGGTAGCAAACTTAGGTAAGCGTTTGTTGCGAAAACATTTATTAGTTGTTATTATTACGTCAGCATAAAATAATTCACGGAAATTCTGGAAAAACGCAGAAACCGATGTCAAGGGAGTCTCGCAATCACAGATCTGCAGATCACGCACGTAATTTCCTGGACGGTCACGCGTAGTGTAGCTCAGCCTTTAGAGCTACCTAATTAGGTACTTGAAACACAGAGAGCCGGAAAGGGAGTAATTGCTGTTTTAAATGCAGTTTCTATCATCAGAAACCAATTTCAAGCAGAATATATGGACTTGTTTGGTACATGCTCATGAAGCTTTCCAGCTTGGTTGGTGTAGCTGGTGCAGACTTGTCACCCTGGCTGATGCAACTCATAGACTCATTGCCATGCTTTGCAGAGGTCGCCTCAATCATAACTAGTGCACAGTGCATGTCCTATGTTCACTATGAGCCACTGTGCAGTGTAAACTATCAGTGTACTCTGGTTGTCATAGCACAAGCATTGCGTAGAACAGACGAACGAGCCACTGCCAAAAACAAAGCTTCAAAACAAATGACATTACCATTTACCACAAATCAGTTGGGCAAACTAGACTTTTGGAATCAAAATATGGAGGCATCAATAATTTGATTCTGGTGGGAGGAGCCATGACCAAATATGGGCATGGAATCAATTTTTTGATTCATTTTGGTACACTTTTGACTTCAAATGTATCGTTACGGTTGAAAAAAGGCCCATGACGGTGAGATTTTTATTTAAAAAGGTAGAAAAATGTGGTAGGTTTGCAAAAAGTGTTACCTCAAAACTAAGAAATTGTCCCTTTGACCTTGTGAATGGGAAAAAGACAGAGCCACTGTCCATCACGTAAAAGCTGTTTTGAGGAAATCACACTGTATGTTATTTTTGTATCATGAATGGCATACTAAACAATCAGTATTTGTGTAAAATGGCAAAATGAAATTTTCAAACCCCTAATTATCATTGTTGTAGTGCTTTTATATTTATTATATGGTTTTTACCTGCTGCTTCAGTTTTTGTATTCTTGACATTTAAAAATTGTGAATTGTTATCAAATGTAGTGAAGGTAAAGTACAACAATGCTATAGGTATCTGTTGTGGTGCTGAGGATACCACTAAATGAGAATAATAGAAAGATAAATGATGTATTCCTGCAAGTTATTGTTGCCTATCTGCCTTGACCTCGGATTTTTTCGAATGTGCTACTGCTTCTCGATGAGATGAACACAGTGGTGGCCGAAATTTTTAACTCGGACCATAAACAAAGATTCTACAGGGTACGGGGACTAAAATTAACGTTTAAAGTGACCTTGACCTTGACCTATGACCTTGACCTCGGATTTTTTCAAATGTGCTACTGCTTCTCGATGAGACGAACACAGTGGTGGCCGAAATTTTCGGATAGCTCCAAAAATGAAGATTTTATAGGGTACGGCGATTTTTAAAGTGACATTGACCTTGAACTATGACCTTGACCTCGGATTTTTTTGAATGTGCTACTGCTTCTCGATGAGACGAATACACTGGTGGTCGAATTTTTCAAATCGGACCATAAACAAAGATTCTACAGGGTACGCGGTATTTTGACCTCTCAAGGTCAAACGGTTTGACCTAGGAAAAAAAGGTCACCATTTTCGAACTCAGCGTGCCATGGGCTATCTGTATGCCAATTTTGAGCGAAATCATTACTCGAATTTGAATCCGAATACGAATACGACGCTAACTTTATGGACATTGATTAGGGAGGAATGTTGATATCCTGATTTAAACAAACATGGCATCTCGCATCGTAAAATTAACGGGAATGTCCCTCCTTACCCTGACGATCAGTGGTGCCTGTGACTCTACGTCACCGTCACACACTGCGCCGCTCAGCATCACGATGATAAGCAGCAGTAGCAGGCTGGCGGTAGCCGTGGCCAGCGCCACGGACCAGCGCCTCTGGCCAGCCACCAGCGCCTGCACGGCCGGCGCACAGCCGGCGCTGAACGAGCCCTCTGCGCCGCTGCAGTTGGCCGCCGCGGCCCGCTCGCAGCACGAGTCGGGCACCGTGCCGTTGCCGAGCACTGGCGCCCAGTCGGCGGCGCCGGTTGGTCCGCAGCAGCGCAGCGCTCGCTGCACGTGGTCCCAGTCGCGCGCCGTGGACGAGTTGTTCCGGTACTGCTCCAGCGAGGCGTTCATGGTAGCGGTGACGTGGTCCAGCGTCCCAAACCGGCCTCTGAGAGTCTCACTGGTGTCCATGTTCTCTAGAGGGCCCATACAGGGATCTTTGAGGACATTATACATACGTAGACCTCTGAAGGGCAACACGAATCTTTGAGGATGCCTTCGAAAATTTTTGAAAACCTCAACTGGCCTATGATAGTTCAGCCGAACTTTTGAGGCGACAGACTTTACTGACCCCAACCCGGCATCTGAGGGGTCACAACTCACGTGTCCCTCTGAGGGCCGCAACACATGTTTCTTATGTCCTCCTACCAACGTAGGATTCGACACAGACCCCGACGGTTCACACTGTTATTCGAGGGCTCCAGGCTCACCCTGGGCCTAGTCTCTTAGCGCCCGCCGCCCACACTGGCTTCTGAAAGCTCGTGTGCCCTAAAGGGCTTTCCGGGCCCACCTTAGGCTCGGAAAGCCCTAAAGCACCACATACACGTAAATGTTTGGGGTGACCCACGCCGATCTCCGGGAACCTAAGCAGGCTTCTGACTGTCCACACTGACCCTGAGTGGCCTGAAATGGCCTGGAAGTCGCAATCCTATCTCTAAGGGATCCCTTGCCGCTATGCCGTGCGTAACTTTTGGTTCCGTTAAATATTTTTGGTCGCGTTTGCAGCGCTTCCCTTCACTCGAAAAACCAGAAACTTTTTGTTCACACTCGAGTGAACAAAACACTTCTTCTCACTGCAGCAAGGATGAATGATGTACTTCCGATTCACACTTCCGACATTCTCTCTCAGTCTCCGCCGAATGCCCAATTCTAAGCTACAATCGGCGGCTGGGATAAGCCCTATGCATTTCACGTAAAACCTCGGCATGCATGCGTGAATGGAGGTTTTAGCGAGGTGATCCGATTCAAATGGAGCGTTTTTCACCTTCTTCTGGGTAATGATCATGAGCGACGAGAGTCTGCACAGGGGCCCTCTGCAGTGCGTCGGCAATCGCAGCCACTCAGTGTAATTCTAACGGTCGTTTTTGTTCAGAAATTTCAAAATTTTGATTTTTTTTTGTAAAAAAATACATGCTATAGCTAGAATGAAAACTTTGTCACCATCGGATTCCTCGCACCATTGCGCGTCGAATGATATGTAAAACGAGTGAGTAACGGCTGGGGAAAGGCAAGATTTAACACAAAACTTGATTTTGCCCCCCCAACCGAAAATGTCTGGTGACGCCTATGACCTATGACCTTGACCTCAGATTTTTTCGAATGTGCTACTGCTTCTGAGACGAACACAGTGGTGGCCGAAATTTTCAAATCGGACCATAAACAAAGATTCTACAATTCTACAGGGTACGGGGACTAAAATTAACGTTTAAAGTGACCTTGACCTTGACCTATGACCTTGACCTCGGATTTTTTTCAAATTTCCTACTGCTTCTCGATGAGACGAACACAGTGGTGGCCGAAATTTTCAAATCGGACCATAAACAAAGATTCTACAGGGTACGGGGACTAAAATTAACGTTTAAAGTGACCTTGACCTTGACCTATGACATTGACCTCGGATTTTTTCGAATGTGCTACTGCTTCTCGATGAGACGAACACAGTGGTGGCCGAAAATGAAGATTTTATAGGGTACGGGGACTAAAATTAACGTTTAAAGTGACCTTGACCTTGACCTATGACCTTGAACTCGGATTTTTTCAAATGTGCTACTGCTTCTCGATGAGACGAACACAGTGGTGGCCGAAATTTTCAAATCGGACCATAAACAAAGATTCTACAGGGTACGGGGACTGAAATTAACGTTTAAAGTGACCTTGACCTTGACCTATGACCTTGACCTCGGATTTTTTTTCGAATGTGCTACTGCTTCTCGATGAGACGAACACAGTGGTGGCCGAAATTTTTAAATCGGACCATAAACAAAGATTCTACAGGGTACGGGGACTAAAATTAACGTTTAAAGTGACCTTGACCTTGACCTATGACCTTGACCTCGGATTTTTTCGAATGTGCTACTGCTTCTCGATGAGACGAACACAGTGGTGGCCGAAATTTTTAAATCGGACCATAAACAAAGATTCTACAGGGTACGGGGACTAAAATTAACGTTTAAAGTGACCTTGACCTTGACCTATGACCTTGACCTCGGATTTTTTCAAATGTGCTACTGCTTCTCGATGAGACGAACACAGTGGTGTCCGAAATTTTCAAATTGGACCATAAACAAAGATTCTACAGGGCACGGGGACTATTTTTTTTTTTATAAATTTAGTCCGAACGGCTGAATGGGTGGATTTGAGGAATCAGAGCCCGCACTAAGCATAGCTTGTTGTGCTGACCCTAATCCCACCACCCGATCGCGCAATTCCAGTTGTATGGCAGAATTTTGTCCGAACGTTTAACGTGCCCTAACGACTGGACACGGTCCTCTCCGCTCACTCACGTTACCTGGCTTCTGTGCGGCCCCTGCCACAGACACGCACGCCATTACACGTAGGAGCTAAATGTGGCCGCCCGCACCGGGGCTTGAACCGGGCTCTCACTTCCGGCTAAGCGGCGAACTCCGGCGCTTTTATCCACTCGGCCACGGAGAGGACGCTTTAACGTAAATTAACGTTTAAAGTGACCTTGACCTTGACCTATGACTTTAACCTCGGATTTTTTCAAATGTGCTACTGCTTCTCGATGAGACGAACACGGTGGTGGCCGAAATTTTCAAATCGGACCATAAACAAAGATTCTACAGGGTACGGGGACTAAAATTAACGTTTTAAGTGACCTTGACCTTGACCTATGACCTTGACCTCGGATTTTTTGAATGTGCTACTGCTTCTCGATGAGACAAACACACTGGTGGTCGAATTTTTCAAATCGGACCATAAACAAAGATTCTACAGGGTACGCAGTATTTTGACCTCTCAAGGTCAAACGGTTTGACCTAGGAAAAAAAGGTCACCATTTTCGAACTCAGCGTGCCATGGGCTATCTGTATGCCAATTTTGAGCGAAATCATTACTCGAATTTGAATCCGAATACGAATACGACGCTAACTTTATGGACATGCGAGATCAAGATTGTGACTCGATCTAATGCTATCTGGCCGGAGTGACTAGGGCTCCAGACTCCAGGAACCCAACAAGACGACGGCTTTGCTTGGAGCAGTGCCTGCGACGTTCGTTATTTCTACCTCGCCCGATCACGGAGCGATTGTGGCCCGGTGCAGTGCAAAACAAAGCGTGCTACCTCTCCCTCCCTCTGTGTAATGTGAGTGCCTTATCTGGGCTCGGCCTCGGCCCGGTCCCCTCCCCTCTTGACTCGGGCCGCTCTCATGTCCTTCCCCGCGCCACGCCTCGGGTCTCTACTCACCCCTCTGCCCCTCCCCTCCCACCTCGTGTCGGCATTCCATGCTCACTACATTCAAGCCCCTAATAGAGCTAGTAATGGTTCGGACTTCGGATAAGCCACTCTACCTCCCCTCGACGGGTCCCCTCTTATTTGTACCTGACCTGTCTTTGATGTCGGTTCACAATGATGTGAAATTTGTTTTTGTATTTTTCCAGCGCACGCAGGCGGATCTCGACAACCACGCCAACCAGTTGAATCCCAACAACTGGCGCTTCAAGCCCAAGCTTCGCGGCCGGTGAACGCCACCTTTGAGATCGTTCGTCAGCAGGTTACGACTAATGACTGGCTTGCTTTGTCAGTAGCGGCCCTATATACGGCCTTGGTAGCGGCGGAACACCTTCAATTAAGGGGGGGGAGGGGCACTGCCGACTTGTGGTCCCATTCTTTCCACGCAACGCCCATAGGGCTAATGTTGGGCTAATGTTAAAATGCCAAAATCAAAGGGGGGCACGGTGCCCCGGTGCCCTCCCCGTTCCGCCGCCTGTGTCCTTTGTATTGCAGCCACTTCATGCTTGCTTACCAGGCACCGTATCGGTACAGGCTATAACGGGATATTTATTATTTGACTTCGAGAAGATGTCAGATATTTGTTTTGCGATGCGCAGTGCGATGTTGGTCACCGTCATATGATGCCCAAATTTGGTGTTTTGGATAGTTAATACTAATACCCTAGCTGATATTGTGCGAGGAATAATCCTAGTCCCCTCTATGGTTTACTAAATTGTTTCCACTATTTTTCCCGGACCTGGGAAGGTGGGACCGCATGGGATGGCAAGAAGAGGCGGTGACATGGGTAGTCTCGCTCTCACGTAGTGTCAATATAGGAACTCCGCGATCCGCAGCGATAAAAATGCGTCGAATAGTCTACGAGCGCGCTGCGCGGTACTTCCAAACGCTCATCTCACACACGCATGTTCAGTGGTCATTGAACAATGAACATTCTTTGAACGTCAAGCTGGCGTGACAAGCTTTGTGCCGTCTCGTGTCCATGGTGTGTCCAAGATTCTTGGTGTATCAAAAGTGGAAATAGCCGGTGCGCCGTATGGGAACCCGCCAGCCCGCCGCCATAGGGAAATCAATGCTTTTTGTCGCTTTTTCGCTCCTTATGAGTCACTTGATCTAATTAGAGCTTAACTAGGAACGAGGCGGATCACTTGGACGCATGCGGGAGCCGAATTCGTTGTTTTGAAGCCAATACCTGGGAAACCCTATCCGCCCAATCTACATGCCCTTAACCCGCGCCCCACTGGGGGGGGCTATTTATAGCCCCCTCCCGTTTTTCTGCAATAACTTCCAAACCGCTTGACGTATCGACGCCAAACTTTCAGTACCTTCGGCTGCATCAATTGTCAAAATTTGAACTTCGTACCTACCATAGGTCGGCCGGAAATGACGTCAGAGTGACGTCATGAGCGGCCGATTTCGACGCAAAACATTGAACCACGGCAATCGCTCCCAAGAGCTCAGTTTTTAAGCTAGATCCAATTTCTTTGCATGAGAGGACTCAGAATAGACTGCGCTATCAAACTGCTATCTCGGTTTTTCGAAATATTGAAAAATTTCGAAAATTTTATATAATAAAATTCAAAATTTTTATTTTTACATTTTTTTCATTTTTTTTTGACTTTTCGAAAAACCCGGAATATATGTGATAGAACGCATTATTATGACTAACTCTAGCAAGTTTAGCTAAATATCTTCAAATATGGCCAAGTTATACGCATTATTGCAAAAAATTAATAATTATTAATTTTTCAAATCAATTTTTTTTTTCAGCACGAATTTCACATCGTACGCCAATATAAATAGCACCATCGTGTTCCTGAGCTCAAACCGCATCCAATAGACACCTTTGTTGAAAAATTTTAACTTCAAAATTTGACCTTTTTGGACCTGAAAGTGACCTGACCTAAGCTAAATTTGACTCAAAATGACCTCGAATGACACAGACGACATCAAATTCGAAATTTTTGGCCTAAATGGACCATAAAACATGTGTCACGTGACCGACGGATGATATAATATTTTCGTGACCTGTGATGACCTGACCTTGACCTGAAAATCAAAGTACAAGTTTGATACCCTCAGAGTATCTAGAGCATCTGTTTACGAGTGTGTGAACCAAAAATGAGCCTGATATGACTTGTAAGACGGCGGCCAGAGCCCAAAACGTGAAGAAGCCAAAATGCTAATAATTTTTACTTTGACCTGACCTGTGACGTTATCTGTGACCTTGAGGTCAATGAAATTAGGTCTCGCTCGGCAGTTTTTCCGGGGCTATCAGACGCCGTTTGAATTTTGACGATCGGCCCAGTAGTTTCGGAGCTAGGAGGGGGGCTATGAATAGCCCCCCCCCCCCAGTAGGGCGTGTTACGCAGACCCCAGTGGGGAGCGGGTTAAAGTTGAGCGCGGCCGTTTTCGGTCGGGATTCCGTGACCTTTTGGCGAAATCGCCTTATTTATTCAACCAGGGTGGACTAATTCGCTTAACTAGGAATAAGGCGTTGATGAGAATTATTCAAGGAATAGAGCTGTGCAAATTTTTTTTTGTTTTGCTACAACTGTATCCGCCCTCGAACGATTAATATTGTTGCATCTTGCCATTCTACTGTTGTCTATGCTCTTGCATATCGTGGGATTAAATGGTAACAGAAAAGTTCGGGAAAGTGGTGTGATTAAAGTCATATTTTTCCGCCGGCAGGTTGCCAGGGGAAGAGGTCGGGTATGCCTGAGCTGTGCCCTTGGCCTTGATCGAGCGGGGGGGGGGGGGGGCGGGTTCAGGGTTATTCAATTTTCATTGAAGGGTACGATGCCGCTAGTCACTGCTGAAAAAGTCATCAGAAAATAGCTCAGTCTTCCTCTATGAGCTGTCATGACCGGGAAACGTAGCACCGTGCCGACGTAGCAATGTCCCTGCCCGAGCAGCTTCTGATTCCGCCCCCCGGACCAGTGCGGTCGGCCCTGGCGCTCCTTCGCCTGCCCGTGTACTCGGCTGCCCCTTCCGTGCCGGGTTGAGTGGGAAGACCGTGCTGTCCGCGCGGTGGATAGCAACAGCCAGACAGTGGGACATCAGACATGAGACAGATACGATAGCAAGTCCAGCCAGATAGCGCGACAGATAGCGGATGACCTTCCTGCACCTATCGGCCCGTTGAAGCTCAGTGGCAGGTGGCTCTGCGCCGGCGCGACCAGCCACGATGGGGTGCGGCTGCTGCTGCGTGACGCTTTTGTCCGTGTCTGTGCTGGCGATGTCCGGCACCCTGCTGGGGGTCGGGGTGAGCCGGCTCGCCGACACCGAGGCTCTGGCCGTGGCCCGACTGGACGGCGGGCAGTGTATCTGGGCAGACTTCTGTGTGTCGAGCGACGTCTGGACGACCGTGTTTGGCGGCGCCGGCCTGCTGCTACTGCTGCTCATCCTGCTGTCGTGCCAGTCTAAGCTGCTGCTCGCCGGCATGCTACTGCTGCTGGCGTTCTTTTTCGTGGCTGCTCGTCTGGATGACATCACTGGTGAACCTGCCGGCGGGACGCTGGACCACGTCACCGCTACCATGAACGCCTCGCTGGAGCAGTACCGGAACAAGTCGTCCATCGCGCGCGACTGGGACCACGTGCAGCGAGCGCTGCGCTGCTGTGGACCCAGCGGCGCCGCCGACTGGGCGCCAGTGCTCGGCAACGACACGGTGCCGGACTCTTGCTGCGAGCGGGCCGCGGTGGCCAACTGCAGCTCCGCGGAGGGCGCGTTCAGCGCCGGCTGTGCGCCGGCCGTGCAGGCGCTGGTGGCCGGCCAGAGGCGCTGGTCCGTGGCGCTGGCCACGGCTACCGCCAGCCTGATGTTGCTGATCACCGTGACGCTATGCAGCGCAGCATCTGGCGACAGCCACGCAGATACATCGACGACTGAACCGCTTATCGCCGGGGTAAGGACATTCCCGTTTATTTTACGATATAAAATGTTACCTATGTGTGATTAAATCAAGACATGAACAATGAACATTCCTAATTATGCGTCGCCGGCCGTCAATAATCGTGATTTAAATAACCGTAAATAATCGTAACCGTAATAAAAGTATCACAATCGTAAATAAAAGTTTACAATTAACCTAATTATTTGAAGATTCATTTTTGAGTTGTTCACACTTGTCCGTCTTGAAGGTCAACCATATAGGGACAGGCAATTGAAGAAAAAAAAAACGTGGGGCACCCATTTGAACATTCGATCATTTTGGTGAGCTGAGTTCAAGGATTCAAGATTTGCGATTCGACCTGATGCTACCTGGCGCGGTCGGAGGCCGGAGTAACTATAAGGGTCGAGGAACCCTTGGACCAGTGTCTGCGACGTTGGTTATTTCTCCTTGACCCCATAAAGAGGCCGTCGTGGCCCGGTGCAGTTCAAAACAAAGCGTGCTAGCATTGTAAGATACTGGCACAGATCAGTCACTCGACCTTATGTCCTCGCCTGCTCTCAGTCTTATCTCTTATCGACACAGGGCCAGGTCTGGCTTTGAGGTCTGTTCACCATGATTATTGGTTATTTACTGACCTGTGTTTCACGTCTTTTTCCAGCATACGCAGGCGGATCTCGACAACCACGCCAATCAGTTGAACCCCAACAACTGGCGCTTCAAGCCCAGGCTTCGAGGCCGTTACTACCGGGGCACGTACTAACGACGTCGATGCGATCGGCAGAAGGTTGAATGCTGATTCCGGTCAGCAGGTTGGACTTTTGGCATATTGTATATATAGCCATATAGTGCCTACATACTAGACATGCATATATGTAGGTATGCCTACAAACCAGGCACTGAATGTAGGTATACCTACTGCTAGATCATACTGGCTTCTTTGATTTCGAGGAAATATCTACCTATTTCTTTTTAGTTGATGCACAATTTTGATGTCGGTGTTATGTTCAGCTCTGAGTTCATATTGGCTTAAATTGATATTTTGGCGTTCTTTATATTATACCTAATGAACACCTTAGCTGATCTTATGTGAGGAATAACCCCAGTCGGTTATGTGGTTCAAAAAATTGTTTTCACGATTTTTTCCGGGCCTGGGAAGGTGGGATGGACAGAAGAGGCGGTGGGATGGGTTGAGTCTCACGTGATGTGAATAGGAACTTGACCATCGCTGTGATCCATAGCAATACAAATGCTTCGAACATACTACAAGCGTGATACTCGCAAATACTTATTTCGCACACTCATGCAAAGTGATGGTACACACATTGAACGTCGTCACCGTTCCGTCATTTCCGTCAGAAGTCAGAATAGTCAAATCCTTCTCCTCCACGTCTCAACCCCCTGATCCGGGTTGGACGGGCAACTTTATCCCACGCGGGGTTGCCCGTAAGCCGAGGACGCCCGTAGCCGGGTGTGCTGAGTGCTTGGGGTCTGCTCGGCCTGTCCTCTGGACGGGCTCAGTCCCGGCAACTCACCAGAGGGCTCGCCCAGACCAATGCCACCCCCTAATTCCTATCATCCTTCCGGCTCTGCAATGGTCTTTTCAGACCGAAAGGACCTAACCCAACAAAACAAACACATATTGAACGTCACACTTGCGCGTGACGAGCTACTCGTGCCAAACACTCAATGTTCCACTCATCTGTTTATTTCTATCTAAAATATGCATGAATGTAGATGGATGAGCAGGGTTAGACGTTGGAGCGCTAGACGCTGCAACTCCGATAGTAACAGGGCACCAGAATGATGACTGATGAGTGTTACATTTGACATCTTGCGCATCGAATGCCTATTAATGATGCCTTCTAGGAATAGTGCCTACATTCACACACTTGGAGATGAACTTGGATCATTAAAAGGGGCATTTGTATATGCAAAGAAAAGGGAGCGCAACCAGGCGTTTGACCATTTAAAGGTTCATGTCGCCAGCTCTATATGTCTATTATGTTAGTGAAAACTGGGAATCCTATCCGACAGCTACCCGGTGCATTCGTGATTGAGCTACGAGCGGCGCTGCCTCACTCAGGGCCTTTCCTAGTGCGTACGTTAGACGCCAGAGAGTAACTTGGGCTGCAGACGGCCGCGCCGTCCCGTCATCAGCAGCGCCCATTCTTACCAAACATCGTTACGCATTCGTAACTAATACCTCACATTGCGTGCTAGCTTGTAAGTGTGCAATCTCACCAGCAGCGCCACTTTGATACATTGAGCTATGCTGCAACAATGCACCGGGCAGCACGCAATTGCATTCATGCATGGGCTGAAAGGTTATTTAGCCTCGAGCTGTACGCTGGGCAGCCAACTGAAAATAACGCACTTTCAAATGACGCACACGGCACAGGCCAGCCAGTCTGGTTAGATGGCCAGCCAGTCTCCATCGCCGGCGAATCCGCGCTGACCTCATTTAGCTGCCATGCCAACTTCTTCCAGCATCGCGGCCATCTCGTGTGGACCCTCTCCGAACTTCTCCGACTGTTGTCGAGTCAGTGCTGCCGAGTAGGACACCAAGCCGTTAGGCAGAGATGAAGGGACTGGGAGGGACTTCGAGTCGAAAGGAACCGCCTGAAGGAACCCAATGGACAGCTCGCTCGGTGAGGGAACGATGGATCGGGAGGGACCGCCTCCAGGGACCCAATGAGACAGCCCACACGGTGAGGGACCCATGGGTGGGAACTCGGGAGGGACTGCCTTCAGAGACCCAGTGAGACAGTTCACTCGGTGAGGGACCCTTGGGTCGGGAGGGGCCGCCTTCAGGGAGCCAGGAGTTACGAATTCAGGGACCCAACGGGACAGCTCACTCGGTGAGAGGCCCTTGGGTCGAGAAGGACCGCCTTCAGGGACGCTGAGGACGTTGTTCTATATACCCTGCTGGGGACCAGTAACTGTTACTGGCTACCCTTGCCTGAGGACAGCTCTACCAGCGACAGCGACCGGGGAACACCGCTAACAGGGACCCGGGAACGGCTCACAGCCCGATCGGCGAGCCAACCCGCGGCACAGCGTACCTTCAAACATGAACAGAGTGCACACCGTACCTTTCTGTCGCTGTCGCAGCTCGCGGCGGGTCATGTGACCGCGCAGACAGCCGTAGAAGGCCAGGGCGTAGAGGACGCCGCACACGCCGCTGGCCACACCCATGGAGCGCATGGCGATCACGGGGCCGAACAGCGCCATCAGGTAGCCGCCCAGGAAGCTGCCAATACCGCGGCCTGACCGGCAGCGGGGGAGCGGGCGCAGCGGTCAGCCGCGAACGGTCATCTGCACGTAATGAACTTATCATAGCCTTGAAGTTATCCGAAACAAGACTGCTTTTTCCTAAAGGACGGTAAGAAAAGATGCTTTTAATGGAAGTATTATATTATATGGAAAGGATAATGATTTAGCGGCCGATTGTACTAATTATATTTCAGAAAAACGTATAGTTAGGTATGCATGTTTTTCGTACTAAACTCAACATCGTCACATGCTCGATTCTGCAGGGCCAGTGAGTTGAACCTGCTATGGTCAGAGCAGTTCTACCTAGGCTTCATCAATGCCAGCATCCAGATTCCAGCAGGTAGGTACATGTTTTTGCTTATAGCCATGAAGCGAAGCTGGATGGAGTCTAATCCAACAGTGGATCTTATGTTTGCATTTTTTTCCACTGTTCTGCTTAGTGTTCGGTTCTTCGTACCGAAGCTGTAGTGAAGGGCTCCGGCGAAGCCTGTCAGCGTGGCCAGCAGCCCTGGTGGCGCCAGCTGGCCTGCGTAGGTAGCAGCACTGTTCCACATCAGATGGGTAGTGGCCACTTCTAGCAGCTCGAACGGGAAGGCTAGCCACGGGTTGCTGTCGGCAGCAGGATCCAGCATGGTCAGCCTCACAGTCTATCAGATGGCAAATATCGGCATATCAAACGGTCTCAGGCGGCAAAGGGGACGAGGTGTGGAGCATGATTCTGAGTTTGCTGTCAAATCCTGTACACAATTTATTTCGCAAAGAACAGGCACCTACCTAACAATACTTCAAGAAGTCACCGCTAGGGAACGATTGTGAGGTAGCATAGACTACTGTATTACTGAGTAGTCTATGGAGTGACGGAAGTCTATGATATTGAGTAGTCTATGGAGCTCTACGTAAGTCATTAATCTTATCCAACAACCACACTGTCACGAATCAATAACGCCCTTGAACACTGCGGACACCCATTGTCCGGTGCACCGTCCCGGCCACCCGCCTGTGACGCCTGTCGGACTGAGGTTCCGAGACTGATGGCTCACCGGATGTACGAGTAGCCGACGTAGCGCGCCAGGTAGCCGAAGAAGGAGATGATGAGGATGTTGATGTGTCCGATCCGGCTACAGATGGCATCAGACCACCAGTTGGCAGGGATCGAGGCCAGGCCGGCCACCGTCATCGTCAGCCCTGCTCAGCACGCGCAGTGTCAGAACTGGGACCGGACGGTAGGTATAAAGCGAAACATGAGAGGGGACGGGAAACATGCCTTATAGGTACAACAGAACACCGAACGGCTGATGGCTGTAAAACATGGGATTGTAGACAACAGTCAATCGTGAGCTGCAGCCCACAGAAGCTTATGATGGAATTTTATGTTCCCTTCGCCGCTGCCTACATCCCTTGTCGGTTTTAATGCGAACAATTTAATTACCACGACATACAGACTTGGTCTCACCGAGCATGTAGGTAGGAGCTTTAAGTTTCTTCAGGAAGACGAATAAGAAACTCTCCAGGAATCCCCACATTGAACCCAAGATGGCCACCACAAGAATAAAGACGAGAGCTTCTGGACGCCGTAAAACCTGAAAGAAATCGACGTTTGCTCATCTCAAGTCAAGGCAGGATGACGACGACGACCAAAGATTATCAGTTGCAACGAGAAGTAAGCACTTCATGTTTTAGGCACATCAGTGATCAGTATGATCAGTGGGTTCCTACATGTAATGTTGATAAAACAAATCGACTATTACCCAGGTACCTATGCTTGAATTATATATGTGACTTATATACCTATGCATTATAATATACACATAGGTACTCCCAATGATGTGCTATCGGGTTACAACCATGCATATCTATCGCACAAGTGAGTTGTGCATATGGACCGTAGCCGCACCGCACCTTGAACAGTTGCCCGATGTGTGCCTTCTCCGGCAAGGAGACGTGTAGGTGGAACACGAAGATGGTCACTATGGTGAGGACCATGCAGATCTCCATCGCGTAAAACGCCGGGCTGTAGTCGGTCGCGCCTGAGGGATGCAGACGGTGCAGGCGAAAAACGGGTGAGAGCGAGTTAGAGGACACAAGTCAAGAGCCTGCATCGCTCGGTTCTTTTTTGAATGCTTGCTTAGTAGGTACGAGTATAAATGACAAATGAAGTACGCGATGCAAATAATATATTAGGCACATATATTCAGCATTTCTTCCCTGACCAGCCTCGGTGCAAATAGTTACAACAAAAGCTTTGGTCGTTGACTCACCGGGGGTGCTGACGGCATCGATAATGGCGCCGACCAGCGGAGGCATGATCACGCTGGCAATGATACCTCCGACTCTCTGGCGTCCAAAGTTCTGTCCGGGCGAGCGGAACTCCTTCACCACCGCTAAACACGTGGCGTCGAGCAGCGTGAAGGCCGGTGCCAGGAAGAACGTGGCCGCCAGCCGCAGGAAGAAGTAGGTCCAGTAGGTGGTCCGGTCCGAGATGGGCAGTTCATCGCCGGGCGCGCACTCGAGCCGACACCCGTCCGGGCAGCTGAGCTCCGCGTGCGCCAGCTCCAGCTCCGTGACGTTGTCGGTCAGCAGTGCCGGCAGCTGGCAGCCGTCAGCACCCAGCTGCAGCACCAGCTCGGCAGCTGCGCCGACCGACAGGCAGCTGTCGCCGGCCGGGCAGGCGAGCAGCTCCCCTTCGGAGTCGGGCGGACACTCCAGGTGACAGTGGAGACTGCGGGTGAGGTTGGCACAGCTGGGCGGCGGCCAGTCGGTGCAGGACAGCGCGGTGCCGTTGGCAGAGGCGGCCAGGGCCTCGGGTGTGGTGTGTGGACTCGGTGGAACGAACAGCAACGCGTGGTGGAACACACAGTGCATCACCAGACAGCCGATGTACAGGTCGCGAATTCGGCCCGTGCGATCCGCTAGAAAGCCTGCCGGAAGAGAAAGACTTAGTTACGACTCAATAGCGATTCAGCAGAGACTCAGCAGAGACTCAACAGTGACTC